AAGTGGAGAAGGGAGGTGGGAGGGAGATGGTTCAGGCCTTTTATCTAAGAAGAAACAGAAAGCCCTGAGATCATCCTGATGGTGATGGATGTGTAAAGGGATTGCATGTCCACGGTGAAGAGGAGGCAGCCCGCAAACTGGAAATTCTGAAACTGATGTAAAGCATCAGAGGAATCCTAGATGTAAGTAGGAAGGGACTGGACAAGGGGAGAAAAAGTCAAGTTGAGGTAGGAACAGGGTGAGTTCCGTGGGTTCATGGTCCAGGGGGAAACAGGAGGAGGTATCTGACAGCAATGTAGAGGTCAGTCTGCCAGAAAACAACTGCACCACCCATGCCAGCAGGCTTAATTACAAAGTCAGGGTTAGGTCTGAGAGCACGGCCTGCAGTCAGTTCACAGGGAGATCGGTTGGAATGGGTGAGGGGGGCCGAGAAACTGAAGTGACCAATGTCACGTCAACAGTTCTTGATGAACAGGTTGAGCACAAGTAAAAGGTCAGGGGGAGGGTTTCAGGTTGAGGGAGATTGTTGGAGGTGGGCGACGGGGTCTGTGGGATGGGGACAGGACTCATGTCGAAAGAAATGAGAACAGAAGTGAAGGCAACAGAAGAAGAGTTCAACGTCCATGTTGTGCTCGGAATTCATTAAGGTGGGAATGCAGAGGGATAAAACCAAGACTCCTACATCAGACTCCTGTTCGTTGACTACAGCTTCATCTTCAACACCATTATCCCCTGCAGACTGATCTCAAAACAGCATGACCTGGGTCTCAGCTCCGCCTCTGCAACTGGATCCTCAGCTTTCTGACCCACAGACTGCAATCAGTGAGGATAGGTAACTGCCCCTCCTCCACAATAACATTCAACACTGGATCCGCCCAAGGATGCGTCCTCAGCCCCCTACGGTACTCCGTTACACCTACAACTGTGTTGCCAAATTCCAAACAAATGTCATCTACAAGTTCGCTGATGACACCACCACTGTGGGACGGATATCTAACAATGACGAGTCAAAATACAGAAGGGAGATAGAGGGTTTGATGATGTAGTGTAATGAAAACAATCTATCTCTCAACATCGGCAAAATTAAAGAACTGATCATTGATGTCAGAAAGAAAGAAGAAGAACACACCACCCCTCCCCCCATCTACATCAATGGAACTGAGGTTGAGGGAGTGAAGAGCATCAAGTTCTTCGGAGTGACAATAACCAACAACTTGTCCTGGACTTCCCACGTAAATACGACAGTCAAGAGGCACAACAACGCCTCTTCTTCCTCGGGCAGCTCAGGAAATTTGGCATGTTTGTAAGGTCCCTCACCAACTTCTACAGATGCACCATGGAAAGCATACTGTCCGGGTGCATAACGGCCTGGTATGGCAACTGCTCTGCCCAGGACTGTACGAAACTACAGAAGGTGGTGTGCACAGCCCAGACCATTAAGGAAGCCAACCTTCCATCCATGGACTCTATCTACATGGCTCACTGCTGTGGAAAGGCGGCCAACATCATTAAAGACCCATCACACCCTGTTAATGACTTCCTACAGCCTCTTCCATCAGGCAGAAGGTACAGAAGCCTGAACACACGCACAAGCAGGTTCAGGAACAGCTTCTTCCCGGCCGTTATCAGACTGATGAATGGACTGTAGCCTCAAATAATGTAACTTGCAATGTAACCTGTATGCCTCTAAGTCTTTTTGCTTGCTGTGATCTGCCTGTATCACTCCTGATCAAAGCTTTTCACTATAGTTTGGTATATGTGACAATAAAATCAATCAATCACACAACATTCAGCATTAGAGGGTGGAAGGTCAGAAGGGATAATAAATAATTGACAGCAGGTGGGTTTAAGGGAGAGATGGTGTCAGAGGAAATGGGAGGCAAGGTTCCAGAGGGCAATGGGTATCTCTGAGTTGTTGCGTCCTGATTTAATCTAATCCTGATTTAGACTTCATTACTTTGTCCCTTTCACTGACTTCATCTTTTGATTTTCTATTCTCTATGCAATTCATCTCTCCAAATATTTTGTGTGCCCTGATATTCCTCTCTCATATCCTCTCATGTCCCAGACCCCTGCTGAGTTTGTTTATAGCCCTCCCAAAAATATTACCAAAACGCCCCACAAGAAATTCAGCCTCTGTTCACGTGTAATTTTTTGGCTTGGATAGATGTCATCTTCGCCAGAGCTAGTCCCAGTGTTCCAGGAATCTAAAACCACCTTTCTAACCACACATTCATCTGCCTTATCCTTTGATTTCTGTACTTATTTGCATGTGGCACTGGGAGTAATCCAGAATATGCTAAAATTTAGGTTGCCCTTGCAAATTTTCTATCCTGATTCATACAGGCCCTTCGGTCCAACCAGTCCATGCTGACCATGGTCCCAAACTAAACTAGTGCGACCTGCCTGCACTTGGATGATATCCTTTTCATGAACTTATATAAATGTCTTTTAAACATTGTAACTGTACCTGCAGCCACCACTTTCTCTGACACTTTGTTCCACACATGAACTACTCTGTGTAAAAAGGTTGCCCCTCATGTCCTTTTTTAAAATCTTTTTCCTCTCATCTAACTCACTAAATTCTGGTTGCAGGACCACAGCTTTCTTCCTACCCAAATCATTTGTCGGGATATGGACCACAACATTTGGTCTTTCACCTTCCCCCAGAAGAATATTCTGCACCTACTCTGTGAGATCCTGAACCCTGACACTGGGGAAGTAATGTCCCACCTTGGTGCCACATCTTTGGTCTGTTGCCCTAACTAATGAACACTCGATGATTATTCCTCCTCTTTTCTCCTTCCTCCGTTCCTGCATAGCTGAGCCATTCATTGTGCCAAATACCAGACTCTGACTGCTTGTCTTGAGGAACCAATGCCTTCACTGGCTTCCAAAATGGAAAACTGTTTTATAAGCTTAGCCGTAAGGGTCTCTGCCTACTTCTCTTAGAGGTGGTCACTCATTTACATTCTTCCTCCGGGCCATAAAGCTGCAGTGTGGCCACCCTTCTGAATATGCCATCCACTTACCTCATAGCCATATGAATGTGCCTCAGTGAATCCAACTGCCACGCAATCTCCAGAACCCAGAAATCAAATCTCTGAAACCTGAGTCAATTCCTGCATATGTAATTATCTAAGACACCAGTAGATCCATGCTTTCTCACAGGTTATAAGTTATATTTTCCACTTGACCGAGCTAAGCTGCCATTAAAATTTCTTTCCTTACATTCACTTAAATCTACTTTGCTTTACTTGTATTACTTTTATTATATTGGCCTTGACCTTTTCTTATTCCTCGTGTTTCTCAGTTAAACTCAAGCGCAGCTATTTCATTAAAACAAACATCTTTCTAAAATATAGCAATATAGAGACAGTTTCCCAATAGCAGTTTCTCACCTATAAGTGACCTTAAAGATTTTCTATGACTTTATTTTGCATTTTTCTTATTTTCCTTTTGAACTCAGAAGGGATTGGTTCAGATCAGCTGAATGGTGTGCCTCTCCAATTCCAGGTATGTGGAGGCATTGAGACCTGTCTGCAGTTTATTACCTATTGCTGTGATCCACTCCTTCACAGGTCTAATGCCTTTCCAATTCCCTCAAGATTTGTAACCTTCCATTCTGAACTGCTCCCTCTCAGTTCTGAGGCCTCTTAAACTCGTAAAAGATTCAGGTCAAAAAAACACAGATTCGCACTCAAGACTGAAAATTCTTTATGGAGAAATGTATGTAATTTCTTTACTATCTGGCACACCTTGTTGACTGACCTGGAGTTGATTGTAGCGTATGTTTAAACTAAAATACTGTGATTCCTGGACAATGTAGTCGCACGGCTGTAGGTTTCAAATAATGTTCATTCAACGATGACAGATTATCTGATAACATATCTGATAATAATTCTTGCCCCTGTACAGAGCTTTGAAGTGAGATACCCATTGATATAAATACGTACTCGCTGAAAGTCTAGGCCCTCAGCAAATGTTTGGCTTTTCACCAATTGTATCTTGTTGTACCTCATGAACCCTTTTCTGTGGGTAACTATTTGATTTCTTGCTGCTCTGCGGCTGACTTACTTTGGCACATTTTCTGAAAATGAGCTATTATTTTACAATTTAACATTTTGTTTTAGTAGTTGGTCACTGTGTCTGCCTTTGAGCTGTCATTGCTCCAGAAACATTATCAATGATTGTTAGCATCTGATGCCTGTCCTTGCTGTATCGGTTTCTCATATGTGTTTTGAGGGTTTTGTACCTTAAGATCTCTATGGATTCCACTGAGCTGCTTTGGTAAGACTAAGCTTCTCCAACAGAATTGATCTGATCTGCTTCCTGCCATCTGTTTCATTCACCATGTGAATTCCTTTCTCCAAAAACAAATCTTTTGTAAGTAATAAATCTGAAAAGTCTCATAATCAATTCTGACACCACTTTTCCTTTAAATCCATCACAGGATGTGGGTGTCACTGGCTGGGACAACATTTATTGCCCATCCCTAATTGCCCAGAGGGCAGTTGGAAGTCAACCACATTGCTGTAGGTCTGGAATTACACGTAGGCCAGACCAGGTAAAGATGGCAGTTTCCTTCCCTAAAGGGCATTAGTGAACCAGATGGGTTTTGCCCACAATATACAATGGATTCACAGTCATCATTAGACCTTTAATTCCAGATTTGTTATTGAATCCAAATTCCATGATCTTCCATGGTGGGATTTGAACCCAGGTACCCAAAGCATTAACATAGCAAAATCTCAGGGTAATAAACAGGAAAGGAATGCAAATGCTTGGTTATCAGAAATAAAAAAAACTGCTAGAAATACATTATATTCAGGTGACAAAAGCCATACTCCTGGTATATAGTAACCTGTCTTTTCAGTTGCTGACTGATATGCTGTATAGTTCCTGCATTTTTTGTTTTATTTACAGTGTCTCAGACATATGTTCATTCTTTTATAAATTTACATTGACCAACATGGGCAAAAGAAAAAATAACACTCACTCCTTTTTCTTCTTAGCATTTTCATTTTCGAATGCGCAGCAGTGGCTCGAGTATGTCATACTGGCTTCCCTTAGTTCAACAAAGTTGTCCAGAGGTGGTAACCTTTTCAAGTTATTGGTCGACTGAGCTATGAGCTTCTTAATAGACTTCAAGCCATGAATCGGAAGTGCAGCAATACCGGTTCTGGAAATATCCCTGTTAAAATAATAAGGCTGTTGGTTTCTGTGTTATCATTACTGAATAATTAAATCATGTTGCTCCTGACATGAGGCATCTAAAATTCTGTTTAAAAATGAGGAAAGAATCATTTACATGCAATGAATTAGATGTTTGAAGCTTCCTATAAATATTTAAGAAAAATAATATATTACAAATAATGATACATGAGAATGTGCATGTGCTCATCTTTTGGCTGATAAGTCTGTACACCAGGCACATGTTGATATAGACAACTAGGGTCATCATGTGCCACATGAACCTAATTGCAGTCGAAATACAAAGAACAGGGTCTAACCTCGGATCCAAAATGTAAAAGTCTGTACTACAACTGGGGTCTGAATCAATAGCAGAATACTATGCAATTGTACAACTGATGATATTACTTAGTAAATAGTAAGTAGCTAAAGAAATATGATCACTAGTTAGATTATTTCCATTGATGTACAGAAATCCAAAAGCTAATGTCAGCCTCCATCTAACCTGGAATTGTCAGTCCATAGAGTTGCTAATGAATGCCATGTTAGCTTTATTGTCACTCATTTCTAACTAAGCTATGTTGTTTCAGAGGATGAGGAATCATAGAATCCCTACAGTGTGGAAACAGGCCACTTGGCCCATCAAATCCACACTGACCCTCTGAAGAGCATCCACCCAGAGCCACTCTCCTACCCTATCCCTGCATTTCCCACGACCAATCCACTTAGCCTGTATATCATCTTTGGACTGTGGGAGGAAACCAAAGCCCTCAGAGAAAACCCACATGGGGAGAATGTGCAAACTCCACACAGACAATCACCTGAGGGTGGAATTTAACCTGGGTCCCTGGCACTGTGAGGCAACAGTGCTATCCACTGAGCCACCATGCCACCTCCAGGAAGACATGGAACCAAAACAGCATGAAATATTTCATAAATAATGACCTACAAAATCTGATGGTGTAGCAGCTATTGAAAAGGTGTCAAGAACAGGTGGCTCATCTGTGCTTTCCTGCAATATCTCAATCCAGTGATCCAGCCTGGCCAAGGTAGTAAGGTCATCTTCAAACCAGCCTACACATTCATAAGTGATCTTCCTCCATTACTTGAATCATTTGTAACAAATATACTGTTCTACATACCACAAAATTACTATGGCAGATGAGTGCAGATAACCTTTCATTTTAAACTTCGAAGATCAAGCTGATTAACTCCTCCAGCTTTTTTCATTTGAGTCCACAGGTTATTTTCCACAGATGTGGATTTTTCCTGTAGATGGGCCTTCTGACAAACGTAGTAAAACTAAGGCTGATTGAAGATAGTCCATATGTAGTCAGTGAATATCAATAATCTTAAGTATAAATGTATGCAAAAGATTGGGGTCCTGGGTTCGAACTCTGCTATGGCAGATGGTGGAATTTGAATTCAATAAAAATCTGAAACTGAGTTCGAACGATCATAAATCTGTTGCTGATTGTTGGGAAAAACTCATCTGGTTCACTAATGTCCTTTTGGGGTGGCACGGTGGCTCAGTGGTTAGCACTGCTGCCTCACAGCACCAGGGACCAAAGTTCAATTCCACCCTTGGGCAACTGTCTGTGTACAGTTTGCACATTCTCCCCGTGTCTGTGTGGGTTTCCTCCAGGTGCTCTGATTTCCTCCCACAGTCCAAAGATGTGCAGGCTAGGTGGATTGGCCATGCTAAATTGCCCATAGTGTTCGGGGATGTGTAGATTAAGGGGATGGGTCTGGGTGGGATGCCCTGAGTGTCAGTGTGGGCTTGTTGGGCCAAAGGGCCTGTTTCCACACTGTAGGGGTTCTATGATTCTATGTCAAGAGAGGACTTGCAGATTTAGGTCCTGGTTCCATGTGATCTGACATCATTATGATATAGCCCCTTATGCACATGTTCAGTAGCCATCAGAGTCTAGATATCATTAACCCTTTACTCTGCTATAATTACCTCTTTTAACAAGCAGCTGCATGAGGCCTGAGTCCATACGAACTGCAATAGGATATAGAGTTAGGGTTAGGGGTAGGGAGAGGCTGATCTTTGGCCAGAAGGTTTTTGTTTTTTAGCCGCAATCACTCTTACTTTTCCTGACCTCTGTACTGTCATTCACCTTGTACTGCTCAAATTCATGGTATACCTGCATGTCTTTGCTTTTTATGATGAGGGACAAGAATGATGTAAACCACTGTGAGGTGATAGTTTGCCCAATTATAATAGCTGAGATGTCATTTACCGACACAAAAAAGTCTCGTAATATTCCAGTGAATTATTTCAGGTCATCATATTATTCCAAAACTATTGTGTAAGTACAAGTTGTTGTTCTATCAAATAAGCACCTTCAAGTTATACTTTCATTTCAATATACTGGACAGAGCTTAATGCAGCCTATTGCGGTGGGAAACATTGCATTTGGATCCATTTAATTCTGGGAGTGGTTCTGTGCGTGTGTGTGTGTGTGCACGTGCGTGCGTGTGTTGGTGTGTTGGTGTGTGTGTTGGTGTGTGTGTGTTGGTATGTGTGTGTGTATGCATGTGCGTGTGTGTGTTGGTGTGTGTGTGTGTTGGTGCGTGTGTGTTGGTGTGTGTGTGTGTTGGTGTGTCTGTGTGGGTGTGTGTGTGTGTTGGTATGTGTGTGTGTGCGTGTGTGTGTGTTGGTGTATGTGTGTGTGTTGGTGTGTGTGTTGGGGTGCGTGTGTGTATGTGTGTGTGTGTGTGTGTGTTGGTGTGTTGGTGTGTGTGTGTTGGTGTGTGTGTGTGTGTGTGTTGGTGTGTCGGAGTGCAGGTGGGATCCACTTTCAAAGTCACTCTGTGCCTCACCAGCCATTTGTCCTTGCTTCCAATTGTCTGGGTCCTCCCATGAAGTCCTCCCCATGATGCCCAATTGCTGTCACTGCCCTGGCATCGATTCACAGCACAGTCTGGCACAGTCACTGAAGCACAAAAGAGGGCAGCCACAATGCATGCAGGCGCTGCCAGCAATGAAGACTTGCCAGCCTCTCAGAAGACAGCATTTCTGCCTTGGTAGTCTTAAGTGCAAATGAAGGCATTGTGTGGACTAGTTAAGAATCTGAAAAGTACTTAATTCAGTTGGGTCTCCCCCTCGGAAGCGAAGTGGTTTCCTACCAGTTCTGCAACTTATGGCTTAGAAACATGTCAGCTACATTAAATTCTGCATATCTTATGTGGATCAAGTGGTTCTAAGTGATTGAGTCTCAGTGATCGAGCAGGACAGCAAAAGATGACAGGAACTTGATAGTACTAGCTTAGGGCTTGGGGATGTCTCCTTTATCGTTCTCTGCTCCCTTTATACCACAGCACCTGGGTTTTAAAAATGTATTTGTTCATGGGTATTGACATCACTGGCTAAATGTCACTGGTTGAAATCTTTTCTTGCCTATCCTAATTGCCCTTGAGATAAATGAATCTTAAAATGGGAATGTGAGTTTATAGTGCCTGAGACATTCTTCAGTTTATGTCTGGGCCCTTCTATTATTTGCAATCTTGTCCTGGAGGTAGGCAAGTAATTTTTAGCTGTTGCATGTTGATGTTGTACAGACAGTCTTGTGCAGCTGCCCTCAAGGCGATATTGTCTGAAACTGAATGAGTGCATGACATGTAACTGGCTTGAATGACAAATGTTTCTTGTATGAATTTACTTCAAGTCTTTATTTTCAGTATTTGCATTTCAGTTGAAGCAGTAGCTAGGTTGGTTTTGCTCAGTTGATTGGTTTGCAATGCAGAGAGATGCCAATAACATTAGCTTAATCCTGTAAAGGCTGAGGTTACCATGAAGGACTCTCTTTCTCAACTTCTCCCCTTGTCTGAGGTGTATTGACCCTCAGGTTAAAGCACCACCAAAGAAAAGAAAGAGCTGTGGATGCTGTCATTCAGGAACAAAAGCAGAAATTGATGGAAAAACTCAGCAGGTCTGGCAGCATCTGTGCAGAGAAAGCACAGTTAACATTTTGCGTTCAGTGACCCTTCTTCAGAACTAAAGCACCATCAGTTGTCATTCTTGAATGAGAGAACAGTACTATGGTGACTTTAATTTTAGCTGGTTTTATTTTTTCAAGACTGAGACTCAGCTGTGCCTAGCAAGCACTTAGAGCCCTGTCTCTCTCAAGTAGTATTGAAGTAATTAACTCTAATTCCAGTTACCATGGTTCAACATGATGGGTTATAATTTCTGAAGATAGAATTTGTCATCATTTTCTAGAGACCAACAATTTTCGTTCTCACTGCTTTATCATTTCTTGACAAAGTTGCCACACAGTGTACAGTCTATTCCCAAATCTGTTCCAAAAGCTACCTCCAGGAGTTGCCTTATCTTGTACCAAACGATTTTCCCTCCAGTTTGGGATTTCTTGGATGAGTGTTTTTACACTGCCATAACCTGGGTGTAGCTGAGTTCCGGTTCTTTTCCCTGCCACATGAATGAGCTTGTAATTGGGGGGCTAATTGGGATGCCCAGACGGTTAATAACACCAAGTATATGTTGAGCTGCGACCGTATAGTGTCAATCTAAGCTACACAGCTGCACGCTTCAGGTACTGCACGCAGTGATCAGTCCCTGCACAGTGATTACAGCACTGGCATCCAAAAGTCACTGCCAGGCATAGATCATGGAGGTCTGCACAGCCAGAAAGAAAATTAGATGGGATGCTTGTGTCAGCATACAGAAAATCAAGAAAATCAGCCCAAAACCACAGCAACATTAAGAGACAGAAGTGATTATTAAACTATAGACAATGTCATGAAGTTGTGATAACACGAATTGTATTTATTTCAGATCTTTTCCCTTCTATCTCCCATGTTTATTTCACAGGATAAAATTTCTAATGATAACTCTTCCCTTCATGCCCACTTTTTTGGCCGAGACAAACAGTAATGCCTTTAAAACTGGAGTACAGAACTTCCTGGGCCTGATTTTTGCTATTGAGGCAGATAACTTGAGTTGGGAAATTTGCTCATTTTGCAGAACCATCTCAGTGTAAAGTACTTCTTACAGGTTGTTTTTGCTCCAGGGAAGTGGGGCACAATAGTCAGGCCTGCCATCCCTGGAAGCAGGTTGGTAGCAGTCACAGACAAAGCCAAATGCCAAAGAGGGCTGATTGAAAAAAAAAATCTTTCCTTGTTTTCTTAGACTTCATCCCAGCTGTTAGCTTACATATTCAAACTTCTAGCCCTCAGTTCCCATATACCAACATTTCAAGGAAGGAAATCTGTCATCCTTGCCTGGTCTGCCCTACATGTGACTCCAGACACAGAGCAATGTGGTTGACTTTGACTACCCTCTGGGAAATGAGGGTTGGGTAATAAATGCTGGCTTAGCCAGAGATGATCATATCCTGTGAGTGAATAAAAAAAAGTACAAGTGTAGAGAAGTTTTCACTCAGCTTGATTGACACCTTTACCAGGTTATAATGAGCCTTTTTTAACTATTTTGTCAATATCTCAATTGTTACTTGCACAAGACTAAGAGATGCCAACTGTTTAAAGCCCTGTTATTGATACTTTGTCTGTTCGATTAATACTTTTATAGGGTTATAAGGTGTTTTCCCCCCAATCTTATGAATGTTTTCTTTTTCCATTTAATAGCAGTTTCATATAATCCATTGTCACTGTGTGGTTCATTGGTTCTATACTCTACACATTGAGTGGATAGGCATGGCATGATGATGAGTTGGTATGGAGGTTATGAGGAGCCACTGAGGGTGGATGGAGAACATTAGTTGGTACTGAGTTGGCATGAAAACTCTAAGCGGCCGCAAGGGTGGGTGGTGAGCCTGAGGTTTTGAGTTGGCAAACTTATTAAACAGTGGGTAGTGAGGCAGGGCTTGGCATAGCTGCCTTCATTTGATTTAAGAAGTCGCATCAAAATCAACAGCATATGTGAATAATATTAATATCGTTCTGCTCATCAATATTTCCAAAGTACCACAAAGCACAACACAAAACTACCAATACTGACGCAAAACAATAAATTACAATTAATTAACACATCAGTACAGACCATGCAGTCAGAACTGATGAAATGTCAGAAGTTGGGGGGGGGGGGCGTAAATTAAACAGGAAATATTCATAAATTAATTGGTGCGCAACTGGGCAGTGCCACAAAATAACAGGGTGTGAATTAACCGTTAGACAATTCAATTTGAGCTGGTGCTAAGTAGACTTGAGGAAATTTCCATAAAGAGGGGGAAGACATTGAGGGGTAAATAGGTCAAGGAAGGCCCTAGGGCCAGGAAATAGGTTTTGGTGATTGTGGGAGGAGAGGGCAGACGATCCATTGAGTTCTGGTGATGGTATTGCCATGCAGGCAGTCGTTGCAGTCGGGGGGTGGGGGGTGTACTATGAATGATGGAGGGCACACCCCAACCCCCATCAACTCTGTCTCCACCCCTAGCACCAGGAATAGACTCTTAATTGGTTGCTTAAATCACCCAAATGAGTTCTTGGTGGGCATTCAATTTGCCATCTTTCTTGCTGCTGGTAAGATATTATAGAAACAGGAGATGTTTGGGAACTTTTTAGTCCATCAATGACAAAGGTTGATATTATGCCAAAGTATCAAGCTTTCTGACATCCATCTCTGCCCAAAAGGATTGGTCATTTCTCGGTGAAAATGTTCTTTTTCTGGCTGGTTGAACATTGATAGGTAACAACACTTTCAAGAATATTTTTTGCTCTTCCTTTGCGCAAATACTTTGCTGCACTGAAGGATTCATACAAAAAGGACGTACAGCAGCTACATAAACAAAAAGAATCATCTTCTAAACATAAAGCTTTAGATATAAAGAGAAGACACTGGGCAGGTGCTACAGATTTAAACCCATGATTATAAGATTGTTTAGGAGGTGAAGATGTCTTAGAGGTTTCCTCATTAGATTAACAACCCAAAGACCTAGGTAATGTTCTGTGGACCCAGGTTCGGCTCTCACTGTGGTTGATGGCAGAATCTGGATTCCATAAAAAATGTCTAAAAATGTTAGGGTCTTTGTGGCACAGTGGTAGCACCCCTACTTCTGCTGTTGGAGGCCAGGTTCAAGTCCTACCTGCTCTGGAGATGTGAAATAACAGCTCTGAACAGCTAGATTAGGGGTAAAAAATAAAGTTGCTTCGGGCGCTCTTACGGTGCATTGGTCCTGTCCCTAGTTCGGGCTAGGAGACCTGGGTTCAAGACCCACTGTTCCAGAGGTGTGTAATAATGTCTCTGAAAAGGTTGATTAGAAAATACCCATAAAGTTGCTGAGAATATTGAGAAAATTGCTCCACATTGATAGAACTGAATCAATTCAAGCTGTACAGAACTGAGCTTGGATTTGAAATGTAAGAAGGAGAACATCATTTTTTTTCTGAGAGGGAGAAGCCAGTTTAATTATTGAATTATTGAGCAAATATTCAAAAACCATCAGGATAATTTTAAATCCAATCAATCTATAACAAGCATGAACTGATACAACTGAATCAAAATTCGTCACACTCTCCTTTGGATTTTTATTCTCAAAAACATTGTTGGCCCGAGGCCAGTTAGTTGTGCCAATGATCCCTCAAATTTCCCCTGTATGCTAACATGTGCTGCAATGGCATTTCACTTACAGAACTGTTGGACCTGTTGCTCCCATGAAGACATCATCATGCAATTTCTGTAGGTTCCAGTTACCTGTAAGGTTGCTGGGAGAAAGACAAAAATCATTAATGTTTCCTCAACTGCCATACAATTGGACATGTGAATAATGTGTGCTCCTTCAAAAATGCAAACATTAAAACTGCATTAAGGACTTTTGGACAGAATCAAATGAGCGACTTACAGATGATCTAAATCTGTTCCATTAAATGCATGGCTTTGTACTTCTATGAGGCCATTGTTAATCAAATTTCTGTGTTTAAAACAAAAGGAAAATCAGATAGAAGGTTTGTTAGGTTGCGCGCCTGCTTCTAAATGCTCTGTTATTTAATTTATGCATGTAGGATGTAACATGCTTTTTAAAATTTCTATAGTGCACATTTATTACTATACTACCTTGGAAAGACTGTTATTTTGAACATTTTTTTTCTAATTTATTAGTGGGATTTTGTACTTTTGAAGGTCTGTAATGCTGGACATTTTATTTCTTGTTTTTCTATGTTTTTCCTAAGAATTTGTAATCAAGAATCTGTACCTAGGTACCTTGGTACCTAAGATGACGCAGCAAGTGGCGTAAACGTTACACTGTACTCATTAAAGCTAATTCAATTCAAAAGAGCACCTTATTAAATAACATTTCATTGCAAACAGAATTTTTTTTTGAAAACAACCGATTCCTATTTTTTTAAACACATTATGGTACATTGCTTGGCCATGCTAGCCACTATCAGGGTTCATGACAACATATGTCAAAGCGATAAGGAAGAAAAATGTGCAAATGCTTCAATTTTGAAATTAAGCCCTCCAATTTCTGAATCACACTGATGAAGAAATGACATCAAAGTTTTTAACATTGATTTTGCTGATTGAAACCCAGCACAGTTGCTGTGGAACTAATTTGCTTCTGAGGTCAGTGGCAAACAAGAGGAAAACCATTCGCCCATTTTGCTATGATGAGATGCTATTTTTAAAATTATATTTCCTCCTTGGAAAATACAGGCTTACTTTGATGTGCGGGGTGTGAAACAGAACGCTCTGAAGCTTCACAGAAGTCATCCTGAATTATTTAGTGGTCTAGTAATCACCACCAAAATTTGCATAATGAAAGGAAGGAAGCATGAATCTCAGTTAAACCCTGGTCTCCCATTCATGATTACTGACATTTTTTAACCAGTCTTACAGCAGAGAAATGGATCTCTAATTTAATTTTCATTTCTGAATGCACTTGAAATAGCATTGACTCTATTGCTATGTCTAGTTAGAAAGATTAATTTACAAACCTTCATCACATCACTTTGGGTATCATACAAAAATAATTGTAAAAAGACATTGTTAACCTTGTTGAAGCCTGATTTATTCAGCATTACCTTCTGAAGTTAACATCTTGCCAGATGTAGTTTCAGTTTTGAATGCTTTTGGAAGCCCTTATCAATATGTCTAACTAGTCTAATCATAGATAGGTACATGTACATTTATGAGTAGATAGGTACTTACATATTTAATGTTCCAGTGCTTAATCCCTGGAAAGCGTAAGATGGTATAACTTGCATGTTTATGTTGTCACGCAATTCACTAAAGAAGACAAACAATCTTTTTGAGTCAGGAAATGAGAGACAGAGAGAAAAACAGAGAACAACAGGCTAATTACTCTGACATCAGTTGTCAGGAAAAGAACTGGAATCTATTATTTAAGCAACCTTAACAATGACTTAGAAAATTATAGTATAACCAGATAACACTAACATGGTTTGCGTAAAGGGAAATTATGCTTGACAAATTTATTACAGGCTTTGGGAGATGAAACAAATCAGGTTAAAAGAGAACTGATAGATGTAATATACGTGGATTTCTGAAAGGCCATTCATTAAGGGTGCTACATGAAAGATTAATACTCAAGATAAGAGCTCACAGAGTTGGGAGTAACACATGAGCATAGATAACGGATTAGTTAATAGGGAAAAATGAAGCATTTTGAAATTGGCAGCTGGTGGAATGCTGGTAGGATGAGTGCTGGGATCTCAGCTATTTGCAACTAATTTAGTTACTTGGTTCAGAGTCCAAGAGTAATGATGATACAAAGCTAGATGGGAAAGTAAGTTGTGGAAAAGACAAAAGAGGCTGCAAAGAGATAAAAATGAGTTAAATGAATAGGCGATAAGTTGTGGGGGGTATAATGTGGGAAGCATAAGTTTACGTAAATTGAGTCTGTATTCTCTGAGTTTAGAAAAGAGGTGAGCTCATTGAAGTGCACAAGATTCAAAGGGTTTGGCATCATAAACACTGAAAGGCTGTTTTCACTTATTGGGCAAAGTAGAACATAAGACAGAGTCTTAGGGTAATGGACTGAAATGAAAAGCCATTTCTTCATTCAGAGGTTCGCAACTTAAGAACTTTCCACCCCAGAGGGCAATGGATATTCCAATTTTGAGTAAATTGAAGGGTAAGATTGACAGACTTTGAACTCTCAAGAATTTAAGGGAAAGTGGAGAATAGTTCAGAAGGTGCAGTTGGGACAGAATATCATCCAAAATTATGCTGAATTGCAAAGCAGCCTTGACAGGCCATATGTACTATTTCTGCTTCTGTTTGTCATGTTCTTATCTTTATTTTTCTATTTTTGCCAAGTTGTTTACTATCTAAATTTTATTTCAGTGCAATCCACGTCTAACTGTCTCTTTAATAAGAATAGAATCTTATCTACACAGGGGTAAGTGATTTATGACGGATACATCTGAATTAAAGTTAATGCAATAGTTATTATAGGGCATCATCTCTTCACAGCATAGTTTTTTCTTCAGGTTTCAACACTGACTAACACTTATTTAGTATTCTTGAGAACAACATATTACTCATTGCATGTTAATCAAATCAAATGATGTTACTTCTTAAAGACATTTTATCTCAAAACATAGCCTTTCATGATACAACTAAGCTAAGTGTGATATCCTGTCATTATCTGAATAAACATAAAGCAAACAAAAACTGCAAATGCGGGAATCCTCAAACAAAAACAAAAACTGTTGGGACATCAAAGAGTAAAGAGAACAGCCAAGTTAACAATGCAGCATTAACTAAAAAGGAGAGAGAGGAATTTATCCTTATCTCTTGGGGAGGAATTGCAAGATTTTGTGAAACTTTCTCTGCAATAAGCTTGTTCGTAAAATTGTAATAAAGCAATGTTAAATTGTAATAAATCTTTTCCATATGATTTCGTGGAAACTTGTTTGGGAGAGTGCATTCTCATGGGCACAGGGAGTACATATCACCTCATTGTGCACTGTCAGCCCTGATTTTCCTCAATGGATAAAAAAAAACTGCAAGATGGGAGTGCAACTGTTTTAATATGTGCTCCTGGTGCATGCTGAGTATTTGTTATTACTTGTCTGTTGATCCTTAAACTTACAGAAGCAGACACACTTCTCCACCTCCAACTTGCAATTATACAAGTCCTCCACAACCCATGACTTAAGATATGGAAAGGATATTTCTGCTTATAAGAGAATCTAGAACTAGGCCTCATGGTTTAAATATAAGGGTCTGACTACTTAACAGGATGAGGATTTTTTTTTTCTTTCTCAGAAGGTTGGGAGTCATTGAAATTCCCTTCCTCAAAATCAGTGGATGCAGAATCTTTAACTATTTTTAAGACAGAGGTAGATACATTCTTGATTATTAGGGTAAGAAAGATTGTCAGAGGTACGTAGGAATGTACAGTTGAGGTTGAAATCAGATCAGGCATGATCTTATTGAATGGTGAAACAGAATCAAAGGGTGAAGTGGCCTTTTTTTTGTTCCTTGTTTGTATATTCACATATTCACAGTTTATGATAGGACTTGTATTCCTCTGCCTTTTAAGCCAAAATTATATTCTTCACTGTATTCTTTGCCTATTTCCTTCATGCTTGTCTCCTGTCAGTTCATGTTGACACGCTTCATTCTCGGTTCACGCTCATGCTTTCCCTCTCCAAGAATCCTTCAAATTGATTCAATTTACTCCCGAGTGTTAATGCCCAAACCTTCCTTTTCCTTTTCCTCTTGTTTCATGCTAGTAAATTTCAGTCATATCTGCCCCTCAGCTCACTCTGTCACTTTGCTTTGTCTTGCAATGTTGTTCAAGACTGTTGATGTCACAACACTAGCTGTGAGGGAGTCTGCCCATAGCAATATTTATACCTGTTCCTTGAAAACTGTTCCTTGAGGAACAGTGAAGGTGAGCGCTAGAAGCACGTCAGGAAATTAAAACAGTTGAGCATGAAGGCACACACTGCACGAGCCTGACCCAACCCTTACACTCTGACACAATGAAAGAGAGATGTGTGCAAGAGGTGTTGCAGTGGAGGAAGAACACACATTGCTTTGAGACTGGAACTGGTGAAGAGAAACAGAGAGTTTAATCAGATGCAGTTTCAAAGTGACATTAACAATTAAAATAATTTCAGTTCAAGGTCAAACAGACCACCAAGCCTGAGCATCACTGGGCTCAATTAAACAGGCTGACAGTAAGAATACTGGGACCAGCTACAAAGTACTTAACATTCAGAATGAGCAGCCTTGATATGAAATCATTGACCAGTTGGTACACTTCAAGGAAGCATAAAATCTCACTAGTGGCAGGGTAAGTCTGCAAAAGTAGGGTACATGCCTTCACTCCACCTGCATCTTTATTGTTCCACTCATCATCATGGAAGATAGAATAATGGAAAACAAAGGGAACCCAAGGAAGTGCATATAAGAATATAGATGTGTTGCATAATGGGCAATAGATACCAATATTAGGGTAAACTCAATGGTCCTGTATTTCCAATGGAACAATCATTTAAGGGAAGCATAGAAGTGAGATCCAGGGTCATGCATGAGTGGGAGCAGGGGAAGCCAACCCAGGCCAGTGGTCAGGGATATACTGAGGTGTTCTATTTAAAAGGCCTATCTGGGTGCTGTTGAACTTTGACATACGTATAATGAAAACAGTAAGGCCTTCCACCTCTCAATAGCCATGGAGAGGGTGAGACAGGGTCAAAGACTGGAATGGATGTTATAAAAGGCCTTGCATGGGTGGATAGAGGGCCATTGGTGGTTATTGTGGCATGAGGGGTTTGGGGCACATGGGTGCATGAGGTGACATGGATAAGGCATGAGGAGTGTGTGGTGGAAGGCCTTACTGTTTTCATTATACTTATGACAAAGTCCAACAGCACTCAGATAGGCCTTTGAAAGAGACCATCTCGGTATGTCCCTGACCTCTGACCTGGGTTGGCTTCCCCTGCCCCCACTCATGCATGCCTCTGGCAATGAATATCATGTTTCTGAAGGCACTTTTTCCCAAAGTGATTAAATAAGGCTATGCTCTTCCCTAATTACCATTAGCAGCCTGGATGAAAATCTACGCCTTGATGCTTGTTAAGAGGAATGCTTGAATTTGCATTTGGACAGTTAGTGCTGTCAATAATTCCCAATCAGATGAGACTTAATTGTCCTTCTTTCAGGATAACAACTGCTGCAGATAACACTATATCAATTTCTGTACAAATTAACTCAAAACTACATTAAAATTCTTCTATAGATCATACTTCTGGAACCGGATAACTGAATTACATTATTTTGGCTAAGTTCAAGTTGCTTGAGTCTTTTTGCAGGATTCTCACTGCAAGATCTTGCCATATTCTCACCATATCTTGTAGCTCATTAACTGCATCCCTTTACTTTGTGGCATCCCTCATACCCAATTCAATACTCATCTTAACCACGTACTATTCCCAGAACAACTTGCCACTCATCTTGGTATCTGCCAAAAGACTGTGCCATGTTTGAGTTGCACCTGGACAAACATTGGTAATATGGCATTGTTGTTTAATGGAAATGTATTGGCACAACAGCAAAAAAGACACCTTTTCTACTCAACAAAGCCAGCCTGGCCGACACTCACTTGCACATGCAACTTCATTCTCTCATCCTAGTCACTGTTGGAGAACTAGGGCAAACTCTGTCCTTAGATACACCCCATCTAAAGACTCTCTTTGAATGCACTCTACTCTTTTCCCAGTGCCCAGTCGTCACCTGCATCTTTTCATTGCCCAGGAGGGAACATTACAAACTGGTAAGCTTCAGATAAGTTCAAACATGACATTTTTCTGTCAGCCACTAAAAGGGAATCCAAAGGAATCAAATTGTGGACTGTAGTTTGCATCCACAATACTGACACCTTGGCCTTGACAGTCCAGCTGGAGGAACACAGCGGGTCAGGCATCATCAAAGGAGCAAGAAAGTCAACGTTTCGGGTCAGGACCCTTCATCAGGACCCTTCACCAGTCCTGATAAAGGGTCCCTACCCGAAACGTCGACTCTCCTGCATCTCTGATGCTGTCTGACCTGCTGTGTTCCCTCCCCCCAACACTGTATTGACTCTGACTCCAGCATCTGCAGTTCTTGCTATCTCCTTGACGGTCCAAGATGTTCTTCTATATCCAGCTGGCATCTACTGGAATCAAGTGTTAATCAGGTCCTGTCTGTTTTGTAACACCCAATGCTGAGCTCTTCCATCAACAAGGAGAGTTTACTCCAG